GCCTGGGAAATGAATTTCCATAAGGTGCCGTAGGGTCTCCTCCGCAGTTTCTGTGTACCCTCCATTGGGACGCTTAAGGCAGCCCCATTGTGTTTGGTTTTCCATGCAGAGTATTCTACTCAGTCTAGATGCTTCAGGAGCACTCTCTATACTTGAGCAAAAACTTCTCCATCCTTTCCTTTTAGCTTTTACTATGGCCTTTTTGTAAATTCTCTGAGATTTCCTGTACTCCTCCCAGGATCTCGGTGTATTTACATTTCTAGCCCTATTAAAGAGTCTTCTCCCCTCAGCCCTTAGCTTATCTAGCTCTTTATTCCACCATGGTGCTTTGGCTGAAGGATTCTTTGACTCTAATGGGCAGTTCATCTCGTATGAGTATTTGATGGCATCATTCAAGTAGTCTGCCGCTGTTTCCAGATTTTCTTTGGTGTGGAATCTAGTGGGTGCTTCCTTGAGTCGACTCCTAAGGTCTTCCTCGTACCCCCTCCAATTTGTTTTCCTAGGATTTCTCTTCCATAACCCTTGGCTCTGTATTTGCTCCATGGTGAAACGGACCTGCCTGTGGTCTGATCCTGAGGGCTCATCAGAGACCCTCCATCCCCTCAACAGGTCCAGTATTCCGCCTGAGCATATGGTTATATCTATCACTTCCTGTCTTCTAGAGTCCAGGAAGGTAGGTTCTGTTCCTCTATTCAGGATGTGTAGCTCCATACCTACAACAAAGTTGAATAGGCTCTTACCCCTGGAATTTATGTCGGTGCTCCCCCACACCAGGTGGTGCGAGTTGGCATCGCATCCCAGGAGTATTTCTAGCCCTTTCTGCCTTGCATAAGTCGTGAGTTTCATCATGTTTTTGTGTGGGGGCAGGTTTTCCAAATCGTAGGGCATGTACACTGACCCTATAATTAGATCCCTGGCTATTCCACCGGTCGTCTTTATTTTCAGTCTGATGGCAACAAAGTCACCATCGCTAAATTGTGGCAGTAGACAGGCGTCTATTCCTTTCGCTATAATGCACGCTCTCGGTCGGTCCGTGTTTCCGGCCCGGAATAGTTTTCCACAGCTGCCAAGTCCTCTTATGTGTCCCTTGATGATCCATGGTTCCTGTATTAAAAATATATATTTACTTGTGTGCATCACAGCTGCGCACCTGGCTAGTACAGCCGAGGCGCTTTTGCTGTGATGCAAGTTAATCTGCGTAAAGTGAATCCGGTCCGCCATATTTATGCTGACGGGTCCGGTGATTTCTCCTTTGCGCCTTCCTTACTGCTTTCTCCAGCAGGCAACCTAATCGTTGCCTGCCCAAGTCCACAGTAGGGTTTAAAATTGAGAGCTCTTAACGCCCTCAAAGCCCCATCCCCAACAAGGGCAGCGAAGTGGGTGCTCGTGGCGTCCCTGCTTTCGCTACCCTTCGCGATCACCCAGTCCGGTGACTGGATGCCTACGTTCTGCCTGTCAAGTAGCTCCAACGCTTCCTTGACAGGTATTGTGGGATCCTCAACATGCACTACGATTCGATGTCTCTTAGGGAGCTCATCGACTCGCAGTGCACGCAGTTCGATCCCATTGATCTTGATTTCTGAGGTTAGGCTTCTAAGCCACTCCTCAGTTTCCCTGTTCGTGCAGTTAAAAACAACTGCCCCGTCCCTATCCGAGGTGCCTCTGAAAGTAAGCGCTTTGGTACCCCTTGCTAAGCAAAGGATACGCCTCCTGACCGTTTCTTTCAAAAGCGATGCCTCGTCTTTTTCCAGTCTTTTGTCAGGGTAAGCCAAGGGAACCAGGGCAACCCTCACAAGACCGGAGGTCAATTGGGCAAAAGTCCTTTGATCAGTTATGACTTTCGGCCTTTTGCCCAACTGAGTGTTACTGGCAGGACTGGGTGTGCTATGCTCCGATCTGAGTCGCTTTACCGCCCCAGAAGAAGCTTGCTCCCCCGTCCTGGGAGTAACTGTCGAAACAGATGTCAGTTCCGAGGTGGGCTTTGCAGCTTCCCCCTTGCCTCCATCTGCTTCTGTTTTTTATAGCGTCGCCTTGCCGCTCCGCTATAACGAACCCTAGCGATTGGTGGCTGGGCCTTATTTGGCTCCGCCCCCGAATTGCTCGGGCTTTCTCCTCCAGGTCGTTCGTCACCTAAGGTGGCCACGCCCTGTAGGACTTCCGAAAAGTTTTCATTTTGATTTTGGCTTGTACTCATATTTGATCCCACGAGTACCGCGGCCGCGCGGTATCACCTGGGCTGAGCCGCGAATGCCCATGGCTTGGCTCGATACTCTCGAAGGTCGCCCGGTATCCGAGAGGCACCGTTTGTGACGTAACTCCCCTTACGCCATGCAGCCCTCAGCACGGTTGCACACACTTTAGCTTGGGGAGGTTCCGCTTTGTCCGGCGCACACGGTTGCCATCTCCTGAGCGAGCGGCCCCCGCGCGCCCCCTCAAGCCCCTCCACCCGCCCCAGCAGCCGGACGAGCCAAGGGGGTCCAGGCTAGTCGGTCACACCCCTGAACGGGTGATATCCTTCCGCCCCGGACCCCCCTCACCCCATCAGCCGCGGGACTTCGTCAAGGTGGGAACCCATCGGGGGGAGCATTAAATAGAATGTTAGAATCAGAAATATATTTAATATATTCTACAAGCATTGTTATAAATCGAAAAAATATCAATCGAATCGGACAAACCGTAAATTTACCGAATCTTACATAAAAGAATTATCTAGACGGTTTGACTGCATGCAGTCTTCTTCAGTGTGACATAAATTATCAAATCATACCTTAAACGCTATTACATTACGTTAATATCTTATCAAATTAATAATGTTAGAAATGTGTCACGTGTCGCAATGTGTCATGTCTGATGTTTCGTCTTTTGTGTAGAGATCGCTCTTAAGCTATAAAATACTTCCCGTGAAACTTCTTCGTTTTTTCTGCGAGAAATGATTAATAACAATATGCACTGCGTACAATCAAGTCAATTAATAATCGGTCACAATTTATAAAATTTTACGTAATTGTTCGGCTTACTTTTATAAATCTCTTTGCTGATTTCATGTTTTTTTTTTTATTTTTTATATAAAAACTTTATAACTGTTAATTCGGTAAAATATCTCATTTCCAACTGTATCAAGTCAATAAACTAAGAGTGTTTATATATATTAAGTTATTATGTAAAAAATGTTGATGTCTTGTTTGTCTTTTTAGTAATCTATCGTCTTTTTAGTAATCTATTTGTTAATATGTTTAAAACATCAAAATAAGCCTCACTGAGCAGCTCGGTATCATTGTTGGAATTAAGGCCATTTTTTTGCTCTTTGATATGTAACATCTCAGAGACAAGTCTCTTATGATAATTACTTTCCCTGTCTAAAATCTTTACATTATTCCAATCAATGTTATGGTGTTTTTTTACTATGTGTTCCGAAATTACCAAGTACTTTGTCGAGTCTAATTTAATATTATTCCTATGTTCCTTCAACCGAGTATGTAATTGTCTCTTCGTTTGGCCTACATATGAGGCATTACAATCTTTGCAGCCGATCTTATACACAACGTTTGAATGAAATACAGGTTGTTTCTTTTTATTTTTTTTTGTGTCTTAATGATTTTGTCTAGTTTATTAAGACATCTGTAACCCACTAAATAGTCAGAATTATTTAACGAAGAGACAACCATTTTGGAAATCTTTTTCGGAAATCCCCCGCGTTGTACCAACAAATTTCTTTTAGTTTTCCAATTGCCGCGTTTTACTGCGATGTGTCGAAGAATAGATTTATGCTTGGCTAAACGTGACTTTTCATGATTCTCGAGCGGTACGTTTCCCTCGAGCGTATTATAAACACACTCTTGAATCCTTTACAAAATTATTGTCGACAGTACGTAAAAATGACCTTTTTTGATTTTTTTTCATATAACAAAGAGTTTTCAAAAGGCAGGCGTTTCTCTCGCCGATAAACCGCCTGGCGACCTTTATTGCGGACAAATTTTTTTGACGACGTCGACGTCTCTCTTTGTTGTCCTTTTCTTCGTGTGTTACCATTAAAATAAAATTGCGCAACTGACAAGTCTCACGTGTAAATGCAGCCTTTTATACGTCTTCCGTTACTGCTCTATTTATCGATCTACAAAGAATGTAGACGTAATGTGTCGTATCGTTGGGAAAAATACACGTGCGAAATCGATATTCGTCTGGAGTTAATTGTTTCAGATCGAGCAATAAATACCCGTGAAGTCGTGAGGTAGCATCGTAGTAAGCTTCTTCCAGAAATTTCGGATCGTCGGGGTATACTTGACGTGCGAGATGGCGAATTTGAGCGCGATTGCACGGATTTTTGAAAATTACTATATAATTAGCGTTGAGAGATATATCCCGCTGGCCTCGGCCTTGATGAAAGAGATTTTGCGAGATGAGTATAACACTGAGATTCTTATGGTGGCTTCCTTTAGTAAATAGATCTACGATAGTGTCGCACAATGACGATTCTCTCATAAAGTCGTCGATTATAATTAATTTTGGAGATAGCGGATCGCTCGAATAATCTTCCGGTCGCGGTAACCCCTCGCGAAATTCGATTATATTTTTCTTCGATTTTAATAGAGTATTACCGTATCCGTTCCTATGTATATCATTTGTAACTTCTTCTTCTTTATTTTTACTCATGTCGCATTGAAGACGTTGATACGCATCTTGCCATTCGGCGTAATAAAATAAAATTCTCTCGAATTGAACATCGGACATGTCGGATAAGTGACGAAGAAAAGTTTTCAGGAAAATCGTTTTTCCGCATCCCGTAGGTCCGCAGACGATCGACGTCCATGGATGTTTCCAGCGCGCGTCCATTTCGCGAAATGATTAATTTAGGTTATATTTACGAGTTCATAAATGAAAAAATTGCTGCGTGAAATTTAGTAATTATTACGCACGCGTGCGAGTGCGTGTGTGAGAGTGTAAATGCATGAGCAAATGCATGTGTGTGTGTGTGTGAGTGTGAGTGTAAATATGTTTAAAAATGTACGCAAGTGTCGCGTGACTTTTTAAAAATATTAAAGAGAAGGTTTGGCGAGGGGGGAGGATATAAGCTTATCTTTACGCTCCGGGGCCCCATCCGCGGCGGCCGCGTGCTCGCGCCAGCGTTTTCTTACGCGCGTACGAGCGAATACCGCGGCGAATTTTAGCCGATACGTTGCCGCGGGGTGACGCGAGTAAGCGTTTCCGCGGGGGTGAGCTCGCACCAGCGTTTTTCCGAGCACCGCTGCTGATGAGCTTATGTACGTGGTGCTTTTCCCTATGCTATTCGCTTGTGACGGATATAACATTATTTTTTAACGTTTTTTAACGCTCGAGGATCGAACTACAGTGCGATGTTCTACTCTCACAGTAAAACTCGAGGAAACAATATTATAGGAGGAGGAGAAGGAGAATAAAAGAAAATGTTCAGATTTAAGATAGAAACAGTTTCATTTATTAGCGATATTTTTTTAATAAAAAATTAAGATTTGCATTTTAGCAAAATAATACGGAGAATTTCATTAAATCGAAGCGTAAGTAATTCTACAAATACATTGTTAAAGTAAACATCTAAAAATGTTAAGTTATTTATTTGCGTTTGTACATTACGTTCAATTTCCTGATAATTGCCTCTGATAGTAAGTTTTATAATTTCACGATCGATGTAAGACGAGGAAAGTTTTAATTCTATTTCGTTAATTAAATATCTCGCAGTTGCATCAACAGTATCGACTATGGAAACTAGCTGCGTCAAATGTGCATCCACGCATTTTCTAATATGTTCCAAGCCGAGAAAAGTAGTTTTCTGCATCACTATTGCAACTGCGTAAGTCTTTCGTTTCTTCAACGGCGATTGAGATTCTTCTTCTTCTTCTTCTTCTTCTTCTTCTTCCGCTTTATCTTTCGTTACACGATCTTTGTTTTCCTTGTATGCCACCAGTACAGCCCTCGCTCCGTAAGCAGTAGTGAAGATGATCGAAATATTCTCGATAATTATAGGAACTGGTTTAATCTTTAGATTCTCATTCAAGTATAGATTCATATGTTCCATATTGATTTGAAATTGATGCCACGTGTTGACGTCGAAACAAATTCCTTCGGCGTAATTGTCCGTTAATTTAACAATCGGCGTGAAGCCGCCATCGTTCTTCGACTGCAATCCAACATGCATCTTCTTAGTGTGAGAAGAATTAAGTCCGTACGTCGTCGATAACAATAAGTAACGTTGTTCGTGACTTCTGGCGTTATCGATGTCGATGCCGTCGTTGTTAGCTATCTTGCGAATATTGCGATTGCGATCGAATTTCGCAAAACCGGTCACTTCCTTGCGCATAACCATTGTTTTCACTTGTAAAACTTCACGAATAGTCAAGACAATCCGGTAAAATGGCAAAACTGCGAGGAATTTTTTTCTTCGTACCTTGAACTTGTATTTCTGCACACTCGAACTCGAATAAATGCGAAAGAACGGCTTGTCGACTCGCTTATATTGCCGTTCTCCCTCTTCCGCAAAAATTGAAAAATAAAAGTGGGGAAGACGTATTTTACGTAAAAAATCATGATTTTTTATGTTCAGTCCTGTACGCGTTAAATAAAAAATTTCTAGAAATATTTAGAAATTTCTAGAAACGAGATCATGTAACGCGAAATAAGGACAAAAAAAAATCTGTGTATGTAAGTGAATAAACGAAAAATCAATTTTTCATGTCAAATCGAATTCTTATGTTTAAACAAACATGTATCAAACAAAAAGAAAACGCTCGGGAGATTTGATTTGAAAATATTTTTTATCCTTAAAAAATATAGCAAGGGGTTTACGAGTTCGAGAACGCGTGACTAGGACAAAGATTGGAGTATCGTTAAATGTTGTCAAAAAAAAGGGTTGAGATTTAATACATGCAGCAATATATGACGGAATAAAAGATCAATCCTTTTGATTTTTTGAAATTTATTGTATCTCGTAAAATAAAAAAAATATATTTTACGATTTTCCGAACTACATTGAGAAACTAATTGTAAAACTTAATAACATCATCTGAAATATTTGCCACAAAGGAAATGGACGCTCGCCAATGAAATAACTAAAAATTTTTTTGTCACGCCTATTTGTGAAGAAAAAGCACATTCCGAAGGTAGATGACAAATTAAGAAACGTTTTAGTTTTAAGAAACACCCAGAATTTAAAAAAAGCATTATCCGATAGGTGAGTAAACTAGATTAAGAATACTCTTTGCCCCTTCCTTCGTGAAAAACGGAGAAATCGCTAGCGAGAAAATTGAAATTTTTTTTTCGATTCTCCCGCTCTTTCAAAATCTAAACGGGGTAAAAATGTCGAATTTTTCGACGGGGAATGAAGTATAAATTTCCCACAGTACAAAAGAAAATGTGCATTTTAAGTTCGACATTGTCCGAAATACTTGTCAGTTTCTCGAACGTACGCGTTTGTGATATTGTGTTGTGAATTTAGTGCGAGTGAAAATGTCGGCTCCGAAAATGCTGATATCTACGTGTATAAATTTGGCAGCAAATTTATCGCGGGAGATCAAGCCAGAGACGTATCTGCCCCACCTGACAGAAGATCGGGAAAATAATTATAATATTTTCAAGAAATTCGCATATTCGATTTCAAACTCCTTACTCGGAGTTCTGTACAGGTTGGGGCATTTCGGGGGTGATATGGAATTATTAAACATTGCCGCCAAAGTTATTGCGTTTCGCGAAGATTTGCGACACGAAGAAAAGGATGTTGGCGGATATGCCGCTTATCTGCTAGCGAACCATCGAAGAATGGAGATAAGAGGTAATTATTTTATATACTTTTAACGTGCCGGTAATTGAATTACAAACTTAAATCATTATTAATAATCCGTAGCAAACTCTCCAGTAAATCTCGCGATAATTCGTCCCTCTTAAAAGAGACGAGCGGCAGAAGAGCCCGAGACAGGACCCTCACGTAAGTTTATACGCGAATAAAAATATATAATTGTTTGTAAAAAAAAAATATATATATATATATATAACGATTACTGTTAAAAATTAAATATTTTAGAGAGAGCGCGAATACTGCCGGCGGAAAATCCGGTTCCAATTGTCATCGATATAGCGGGTAAGTTAACATTTTAGAGAAATAATAAAATATTTTAATAAGAAATATAAAAAATATAGTAAGAAACTCAATGTATAAATATATTATTTCAGACGACGACGACGACGATGATGCTAACAGCGTTATGCACAAAGCTAATGACGATGGCGTCGACGACAACGAGGACAATTCTATCATCGACGTAAGCTCGGCGGATAACGCGATATTTACACCAGGTAAGGTGATATTTAAAAATATAGGTTTACAAAACGATCGACTTTGAATATACAAAACTTGTAAAATATATAAGTATTTTTTTTATAACAAAATTTCTAATGTTATAATAATATCAATAAAGCGGGAAGAGGAACCGGAAGAGGAAGAAGAAGAAGCGCTTGAGGAGCAGGAAGACGAGGAGGAGGAGGAAGAAGTAGAAGAAGAAGAAGATATTCACGAGGCAGAAACAGATCGCGAGAGCGAAGAAGATGATTCTCTAGTGACAGGTAACCAAATTATTTTACTTTTTCCAAAATTTTTATGTTTGAATGTAATAAATAAATTTAAATTTTTAGTATTTCGGCACTTTCCGATTGATTATTCTTCGAATATTGGCTTTGAGAATACGGAAGCATTACTCAAGACCAGATATCGCCAAAAGGTGGGTTATCTCGTCAAATAATAATGTCAATAGTTGTGTAAAAGATTAAATTCGAGCATAAAAATATAAAAGCAATATAACAGTACTTTATATAATTTATATAATTTTATTCAATTTTATAATTTTCTTTTTTTCTTTAGTACAAAGAGGCGGAGGCGGTGGAGCAAACAACACTGCGAAAAATCGCGGCGATATTTCCCGGGAGACGGAGGAGGGTGCAGAGGAGGGTAAAGAGGAGGTGGGAGAGGAAGAGCAACAACGCCAGCAACAACAGCAACACTGGCAAGTCAAAGATAGATTTAATTATATTATAAATGATAATCCTTAAGAGTCGCCAGTAATAAATAATGAAAAATTATATTAATTATATTAATTTAATTAGAGAAAACGCGCGGCGATTCGGGATAGTCGGGAGAGAAGCGAGTTTCGCGATACGAGAGTTACCTGAAGGCGGCGATATTTATCGGTCATTGGAAAATGCGTTTTGCGAAATTCACGCGTATGCGATAAATTCGAGCAAACCGGGAGTTTACGTAAGTTTATCATTCGATTCGTCGAATTTATTGCACGGCCCCGCGGGATTATCCTTTCGTCCGGTGCGCGATTTGACTCACGAGGATATTTGGGCCTCGTGACCGCGATAGCGCAGAGCGCGGGAGGAGTCGATATCGCGGAGCAATTTAACATAAGCGTTTTCAACATCGCTGTTCCTTCAGGTCGCGGCCGCGTTGTATTAACACATGAAAATATCGCGAACGCTCAATAGTCGAAATAAAGAATAACGACAACTTGTGTTTCCCGCGCTCCCTCGTAGTAGCGCAAACTTATTGCGAACGTGGTAATATACGTACGGGGGAATTACACGAGAAATGGAACAATGTAAGACGCCCGCAATTGAAGTTACAACGCAAATGGGCGTTGGAATTAACTAGAAATGCCGGAGTAATAATTCCCGAAGAAGGTTGCAGGATTCGTGAAATTGAGCGTTTTCAGCGATATCTCACCGCAGTCAATGTCGCTATCGTTATATATAATTTTAGTACTTTCGGTCGCGGCGCGAAACCGTACTATGACGGTACAGCGATACTCGCTTCTCTCGGGCGTGAATCCTCTCATCGTCTAAATATTATGTATTATGAGAATTTACGCCATTTTAATCCTATATTAAATTTAAAAGCCGCTGCGGGTTCTTGTAATTTTTGTAACGTGTAATGTAGGCTTCCGAAACGATAGAGGTGGCGGTCACCGGTGCTCGAATAAATGTCCGCGATGTTTCACCGCGCCGCCGTGCGAACACTCCGACGACGCGCAAATAGTAAAATGCGACGCGTGCAATCAGACGTTTTTTGGTGCTTCGTGTTTCGAACGTCATCGTAAAGAAAAATCTTATGACGGTAAATTGCTCGCGAGTGTTTGTAGCGTCATACGATTTTGCAATAAATGCGGATCTATAATTAAAGCGAAAGCGAAGCACGAATGCGGCGTTTCTTACTGCAGATTATGCCATTCAAAGCAACCTCGAAATCATTTGTGTTATATGAGACCTCTGCGCAACGACGTTAATTCTTCTACCGAGCCGTCGTCGTCGACACATCCTCCGGAAGTAAAAGCGACGACGGTGACGGTAGATGTATCCGTCGAGAAGAAAGAAAACATAAATGATAACGAAGAAGCGAGAAAATCGGCATTGACAGATAGAAAGAGACGCGTAGCATTCGTGTTTTATGATTTTGAAACACGGCAGGACGAGACGCTCGAAGGTACAACGTCCGTAAAAAGACACATCCCGACACTTTGCGTCGCGCAACAAATTTGCGAAGCATGCGCGCAAAACAACGATATCTCTGTGCGTTGTTACTGGTGCGGAGTGCGAGAGTTCGTATTTTGTAATGATCCGGTGAAATATTTTGTCGATTTTGCTACGCGAAGGACGAAATATTTTAAACAGATAATTTGCATAGCCCACAATGCGAAAGCGTTTGACGCTCAATTTATTTTGAAATATATCGTAGAAAATCGTGTCAATCTCGCGCCGAAAGTGATTTTGAACGGGACAAAAATTGTCGTATTAACAGTTGGACATACAAAGTTTATCGATAGCGTAAATTATATGCCAATGCGATTATCCGATTTGCCGAAGGCTTTCGGGCTGAAGGATACATCGGGTAAAGTCATTTTTCCTTATTTATTAAATATTATCAAAAATCAAATGTATGTCGGACCATTACCCGACGCGCATTATTACTCTCCCGAAATCATGAAATCGAAAGAGCGCGAATGCTTTCTCGCGTGGCATACGGACATGCGGTTAAAAAACACAGTGTTTGATTTTCAACGCGAGATAGTACAATATTGCCGTACCGATGTTGATATACTTCGATGAGTGTGCATGGCGTTTAGAAAAATTTTTATAGATCGCGGAAATGTATGTCCGTTCGAGAAATGTACAACTATTGCTTCAACGTGTAGGACAGTTTTTTGGAAAAACTTCTTACAGCCGAATACGATAGGCGTCATTCCTGCGGGCGGATACAGAAAAGCAAACATACATTTGCGCAAAGCTCTACAATGGTTGGTATGGAAGGAGCGCAAGCTCGGTTATCCTATAAACCACGCAAGGCGTGCGCGCAAATACCGTACGATCGACGGCACACTCGTCGATGGTTATTATGAAGAAACATTGGAAACGGGAGTAACGTTGCGTCACGTGTTGCAATTCCACGGTTGCTTTTGGCACGGATGTACGTCGTGCTTTCCTCTAAATCGCAATAGACGGCTTTCGTCGGCTGAGGAACGAAGAGATACGATTGACTCGCAATACGAGCGAACTCTCGCAATCTCGTGGCAACTTCGCCAGCAGGGGTACACGCTGACGGAAAAGTGGGAGTGTAGCTTTGATCAGGAAATGCGGGATAATCGTGAAATGCGCGAATTTTTCGAGAGTTATCCGATGGTGAAAACAGCATCGCTCGATCCTCGTGACGCATTTTTCGATGGACGCACGGGAAATATCGCGACTCTTTGTAAAATCACAGGTGCGGAGAAAATACGCTACGTAGACGTATGTTCATTATACCCGTATGTATTGAAGACGGGTGCTTTCCCTATCGGCCATCCCGACATTTATATCGGCGATGAATGCTCGAATTTAATCGGTGTTTGCGCGTACGCTCGATTGCTGACGTTGAACGCTCACGCACGAAGCTACGGATCCTGACAATCGGGTTGTAAATCCGATCGTCGATATCCGTCTCGTGTATAGATTGCACAGGAAGATTCAAAGTGGACTGTATCTTAAGGAGGGTGGACGCGCTCCGATTGGTGCGCAGGATGGGTAACGATTTAAGCCACGTGCCGAATCGAGAACCAGAATACGGAATTATATGCACAAATTACACAAAAACAATCCATTTATTAACTAAATTTGTCCGAGAGTCACAATGTACATAAACGCAAATTAATTTGAAACCTTTACATAAAATCTTTATCTATTAACGAATAAAATAGTCACCGCGAAAACACGTACGACGTGGTTGTTAAGCAGTCCGAAATGTCTCACTATATGGTATCTAGCATGTGTTGCATGGACACCACCGAAAAACTATTTGTTGCATAACAATTGCTAGTTACGATGAACACGCTCGAAACTCGTGTATCGAATCGTTCGAAATCTCACATTAAGATTTCGTACACGTTGCCGATTGCGGCGAATGCGATATTAAATCGCGAACCGAAATGTTTCAATTAACATGAAGAATCACTGATCACATAAATGTTACAGTGCGTTGAGCACCACGGGCTCGAAGGGATGAAAAAAAGGAACGCAAACACAATCACGACATCAGGTATCAGTCCCAGATGACTGATCACGTGATCTGCGCGCTCCAACTCACGTGATCTACGCGTGCCAAGCGAACACGCGCGAGCCTCATGTATACAATTATTACGTTCGTGGAAACAATCGGACTTCGGCACCTTGATATTTCACCATTGCGTGAATTCTGGTCCCAAATCACTGAATTCCGCTTCGTTAACAATGTTTTGAGCGCAAATTTTATGTCGCGTATATAACGGCGCACCTTGTTGCTACCGTTAATTAGCGAATGTCAAAGTGAACGTATTTCACATCTCACTTATCACTGAATCACAGCAGAATATCAATCTGATTATTTTTATTTTTTTTATTAATCAAACGAACTACGAACAATTAGAATCGCGACGGAAAACCCACATGTGACTAATCGCAAAGCCGTGCCAGGAGCGAATGCCCAGGTTCGATGACGAGGCAGTTCATCCCCGATCGATTCGATAATCGAACGCTTGAAGCGCGGCGTGTAGGTTCAGTGCGTGCTGCCCCGTGCCGGATTAACTCAAAAATTATAGAATTTCAAATTATCGACCTACTTCTTCATTCTCTTTGAACAAATAATAAAGTTCTTGACCTGGGGTCAACTTACTTCTGAACATACCGCCCGCCTCGAAATAAAGATTTCGAAATGTCTTACAGTAACTAAAGAACTTACCCCAGGTTTGGGTTTTTTTTTTGTTACATAAAAAGAAAAAAAAGAAAAAATAAAACGTTAATCGCTTAATGATTTTTCGAGTGAGATTCAGTGATTACATATTGAACAATAACAGGCATTTGGTTGCTTACATGATTGAATAACAATATTAAGACATAGATTCTTACTAAACTTACATTAACGCGACGCGAGTGGTCTTGAGTAGTCAAGGATATTGAGCGCCGCCCGCCTTAACTAACTACGAAGGACTTGACTTGTCCTAATTATGCGAACGATTGAGACGTTGCATGCGCATTATGGAGTTGGGTTTTCCGCAGTACCTGTCTTACGTTCCGACAGTTGATCGATTAAGTTAATATCGATAGGTAGTAGGCACAATTTAGTTACTGGTCGCTTGTATTCGGACGTCGCTGTTTTAACTGAGACGACTCGAGTTAACCCGTCAGAGCCCGGATGACAATGAATAACTCGCCCTAATTCCCATTTACACGGTGGGAGAAGGGGGTTTTGAATCAAAACCATTGAGCCAACCTGAATCGGAGGCGTTTCTCGACGCCACTTTGATCTTTGTTGAAGAGTATTGACATAATCTGACTGCCACTGCTTCCAAAAACGCTCCGTAATCTGTCTGAGTAATTGCCATCGCGACAATCTGTTTTCGTTCAATTGTAGAACGGAAGGTTCCGGATTCGTAGTAATGGCAGTCCCAATCAAAAGGTGACCTGGGGTCAGGAACTCGTAGTCATCTGGAGTATCATTGAGTGGAGAAAGCGGCCTTGAGTTGAGGATAGCCTCAATTTTGCACAACACTGTCGTGAACTCCTCAAATGTCAATGCGTGTGAGCTTACAATTCGACGAAGGTGGTGTTTGACACTCTTCACTCCTGCCTCCCATAGTCCTCCAAAATGAGGAGCATGAGGCGGGATGAAACTCCAAGTGATCCTATCTGTTGCGATTAAATTGAGAAAATCCGTATTGCGTTGAGCATCCCGATACGCGCGGGATAGCTCTTTATCGGCTCCTGTGAATGTTGTACCGTTATCCGAATACATAACTGCTGGCAAGCCTCGTCTGGCGCAAAATCGTTGAAATGCGTTCAAAAATGCTGGCGTTGAATAATCGCTGACCAACTCGAGATGAATGGCTCGAGTTGCCAAACATATGAAAACGGCTATGTAAGCCTTTCGTGAGGTGATTCCTCGACCAGCAGAGGCTCGAATGAGCACTGGACCGGCATAATCGATGCCGCTGTGCAAAAACGCCCTCGTTGGCGTTGAGACTCGAGTTGATGGGAGTTGACCCATTAACTGATTGGCTACCTGAGCTCTTTCTCGCGTGCATCGAACGCACCTGTAGATAACTGATTTAACTAAAGGCCTAGATTTTATAATCCAAAATTCTTGGCGAATTTTAGACAGGGTAGACTGAAGACCGGCGTGCAGCGAGGCTATGTGCGTGTAGCGAATGAGCATTGTAGTAATTGGATGATCAGCTAGTAGAACTGGATGTTTGGATTGAAATGGTAGATGAGAATGCTCCAATCTTCCGCCAACGCGGAGTAGACCATTTGCGTCTAGGAATGGATTTAATGATATCAGAGCGCTGTTTCTTGATAACCTCTTGTTTGACTTGAGTAAGTAAAGTTCTTGCTTGAACACCTCTGCTTGAATCATATGCAACCAAAAGTTACGAGACTGCATGTACTCAAATGCTGTAATGGCGTGGGACCGGACGTGATCTTTGTGATCTGCCGCGTGCTTCCGTTGACATTTGTTTATGAATCGGTATATATATGCAGTGACGCGTATCAATTTTGGCCACCATGAATACCGTGCAGCAAGACTCCAGTCTTCACGAGTACTGTTTTGATGAGCTTCACATGCCTTCAGTTCCAACTGAGTTTCGTGGTGCTCTGATAGAATTTGATGAGGCCACTCATCAGAATGAAGATGCAACCATGACGGCCCATGCCACCATAGGTTGATGGATATCAAATCTCGGCCGAGTAATCCGCGCGAAGCACAGTCTGCGGGGTTTTCACTGGTGTTTACGTGATGCCAACTACCGGTTGGTAATCGTGTCTGAATTTCGGCTACTCTATGAGCTACGAAAGTTTTCCAATTTGAGGGGTGCTTCTTGAGCCATGCGAGAACTACAGTGGAGTCTGTCCAACAATAAATCGCAATGTCGCTTAAATGAAGTGACTGCTTGATAAAGTCAATCAAGCGAACTAGCAGAACGGCAGCAGAAAGTTCGAGGCGAGGAACCGTCATTGGTTTAAGAGACGCGACTTTAGATCGCCCAGCAATGAGCGAGACCGTAATTTTCCCAGAGGAGGATGTCACGCGTAAAAACACCACTGCTGCGTAAGCGATTGTGGATGCGTCCGCGAACCCGTGTAATTCCACAGTTGCCGTTCCGGACTCAAAACCTGTCCAGCGACTCAGTTGAATTTTTCGTAGATAGGGTAATGACTCGTAGATAGACTTCCAGGATGATAAGATTTCGTCCGGAATAATGTCGTCCCATCCGATACGGTGTCGCCATAATTGCTGCATGAGAGTTTTCGCCTTTAAAATCGCAGGTGTGACCCACCCGAGCGGGTCGAATAATCTTGCTATTGTTGATAGAATTGCTCGTTTGGTGTTAGGAACAGTTTCAGATAATGTAATTTGAAACTGAAAGCAGTCATGTTTCGGGTTCCAGACAATACCGAGGATTTTTAGACTGTCATCAGTCTCCAAATTTTTTGCGTAAGCCAATCCATGATTGTCAGGCTGAATATCTGAAAGCAATTCTGAGTGGTTACTGGCCCATTTCCGGAGATCGAAACCACCACGGTTCAGCAAATTACAAAGTTGAGTGCGAGCTTGCTTTAACAGTGTGATATCGTCTGCACCAAATAATACATCATCGACGTAGATGTTTTCTCTTAGGATGGGAGAGGCTAACGGAAATGAATCTCCCTCGTCACAGTTCAATTGTTGGATTACTCGAAGAGCAAGAAACGGTGCTGACGCAGTGCCGTAAGTAACGGTAAGGAGTTGATATTCCTGTATAGTTGAGTTGTGGTCGACCCACAGTATCCGTTGGTAGTCTCTATCTCTAGGATCGATTAATATTTGGCGATACATTTTAGCGATGTCCGCAGAATATACATATTTATATTGCCTCCAGCGCAATATAACTGCTTGTAGATCGGACTGCAATTTTGGGCCGGTGTACATGTGAAAGTTGAGAGACGTTCCATTGGATGTGAGGCAGGAGGCGTCGAACACGACTCTTAAACGGGTTGTCGAACTTGTCTCCTTGATGACTGGATGATGAGGTATATAGGTCGCTTGAACATTATTTGAATGCAAAGGAGCGACTTGCTTCATATGATTTAATTGCTCATATTCGCGCATGAAGTCCAAATATTCTTGTGCAAGTGTGGGTTGACGAGCAAATTTACGAATTAGCGACGAAAGTCGGCGTTCAGCTATGCTGCGAGAGTCGCCTATTTTAATAGGCGGGCCCTCTTTAAAAGGGAGTCGCACGACATATCTGCCATCTGCTGTTCTAGTATGCGTGCGTTGAAAGTGATCCTCGCATTGTTTATCTTCTATGGACGCATGAACATGTTGAGGAGTTTCTTCAACCTCCCAAAACTTACATAATTGCCGTTCCAAGGAGCAGCAGTGAGCAACTGCATGATACCTTTGTTGTGAACTGGGTAATGGTGAGCCTTGAGGTTGGGCTCCGACATGCGATGAAACCAAAGTAGAGCCGACTACATGGGTGTTTTGTATGACATGATTAGGGATTGACGTAGGTCCAGATAGAATCCACCCGAAATGCGATTGTATAGCGTCTGGTTGACCTATGGGTCCATTGCGTATATTGACAAGAACCTTGCTATACAAATCAGCTCCAATAATGAGGTCAATAGGAGTTGATCCAGTCGGATCGTCATCCGCTAAGGTCAAGTTGGAGATGTGTTTCCAGTCACGTAATGACGAAGCGTGTCTGGGAGCATACTTCGTCAATGCTCTCATGATGTAAGCTACCGTGGTGAAGGTTGGCTCAGGTTTATCGCGAGGCGAAATATTAATTAACGCGGCAGATCGGCATGTACCGGTATCTGCACAGCTAATCCCCGAAGTTGAAGTAAATGTTTGCATACGAGGTAAGCGTAAAATTTGCGCTACGCGTTCCGTAAGAAATGTGAGTTCTGAACCACCGTCAAGTAAGGCTCTGACAGTTAAGGAACGTCCAGAAAGCGAATGTATTTTCACCGTTGCCGTAGACAACACCACAGGAGTCGGTGATGTAGTTAACGTGACCGCTGAAAGCGCTGTGACATTTGATATATTAGTAACATTCTGCGAACTCGATGACGCAGGAATGCTCGTTGTTTGTTGCAATGAGCCCGAGTCAACGTGGATCATTGTGTGATGCCGCTTGCTACATTTGCGACACGTGAATTTACTCTGACAATTAAGTGCTACGTGCTTATCGCTTAAGCAATTGAAACATCGCTTAAGTTTCTTTATCAATTCGCGTCGTTGATCCGTGCTCATTGAAAGAAATTGTTGACACTTAGAGAGAAAGTGAGATTGTTTACAAATTGGACATGACAAATTAACTGACGCAGTTGCGGTGGCGCTTGTCACTCTCGAATGTGACTTCGTTTTATCGTGTTCGTGAGGATGGAGTTCCTCAAGCGCTATAGCGCGCGAAGATATGAAACGTATCAAGTCTTTGTACGTTGGAGGATTTTCGTTATCGCTACTCTTCAATTTCCACGCTCGACGCGTAGCAGAATCAAACTTTTGTGAAATGAAGTATACTAATATATCGCTTACAATATCCTCTGCTGTACGATCAAGACGTTTCAATGTCGCTAACGCTTGTTCCGTTTTATCTCGCAACTCGTGAAGTTCTGACGCTGATTCGCGAGTCATCTTTGGAAGATGATATAAGGTCGACACATGTACTTCGATCAACCGTCGTTTGTTCTCGAAACGCGTGGTTAACGCTTTCCACGCGACCTTAAAATTTTCGGCGGTTACTTTGATTCCTGATATCGCATCGCGGGCCGGACCTGTCAAACTAGAGATCAAAAAATGCATACGAGTGAAATTTGACAATTCTTTGTTATCTATAATCAACGACTGAAAACGGTCGCGAAAGGTCTCCCAATCCTCGTTTTTTCCAGAAAAAGGCGGTAATTTAATAGGAGGGAGATGCTTTAACGAGAATGACGATGCGTCCATTTGCGCAAAAGAAGTTTCGAGGGATGTATCTCGACTTACGACAGGAACCAGGTCTTCTAGACATTCGTTCATATGATCCAGGGCTGATTGATAGAGATCTTCGTGAAGGTCGAATTGATTCTTCTTGAAATAATTAATTGACCCTTGATCATCCTCTGGAACAAGTTGAAGCAGAATGGTGTGATTGTGCACACCTTGAGTCCATTGAGCTTGTAAAGTCGCAATCCGTGAGCGAACCCTTGCGGCCGTCAAATTAGAACGACCAATCTTTTTGAAATTGTCGAGAGCTCGAGCAATTGAGTGGAAGATAGTTTGCTGATTTGCAAGAGCGTCTTCCATTTTGACACTATAGTTGTTTATGAATATGTCACTAACACGATTGTCTACTTAAACGCGATTACTTGACTGACTGTATCTCGAATCACGCTGCACTTAAATATCACTGGTGTCCTTAATTCAGTGTTCTCGATTCGTCATTACTCTCCCATCCGGCTCGAAGGACCAAAAAATGTTTGCGCGTACGCTCGATTGCTGACGTTGAACGCTCACGCACGAAGCTACGGATCCTGACAATCGGGTTGTAAATCCGATCGTCGATATCCGTCTCGTGTATAGATTGCACAGGAAGATTCAAAGTGGACTGTATCTTAAGGAGGGTGGACGCGCTCCGATTGGTGCGCAGGATGGGTAACGATTTAAGCCACGTGCCGAATCGAGAACCAGAATACGGAATTATATGCACAAATTACACAAAAACAATCCATTTATTAACTAAATTTGTCCGAGAGTCACAATGTACATAAACGCAAATTAATTTGAAACCTTTACATAAAATCTTTATCTATTAACGAATAAAATAGTCACCGCGAAAACACGTACGACGTGGTTGTTAAGCAGTCCGAAATGTCTCACTATATGGTATCTAGCATGTGTTGCATGGACACCACCGAAAAACTATTTGTTGCATAACAATTGCTAGTTACGATGAACACGCTCGAAACTCGTGTATCGAATCGTTCGAAATCTCACATTAAGATTTCGTACACGTTGCCGATTGCGGCGAATGCGATATTAAATCGCGAACCGAAATGTTTCAATTAACATGAAGAATCACTGATCACATAAATGTTACAGTGCGTTGAGCACCACGGGCTCGAAGGGATGAAAAAAAAGGAACGCAAACACAATCACGACATCAGGTATCAGTCCCAGATGACTGATCACGTGATCTGCGCGCTCCAACTCACGTGATCTACGCGTGCCAAGCGAACACGCGCGAGCCTCATGTATACAATTATTACGTTCGTGGAAACAATCGGACTTCGGCACCTTGATATTTCACCATTGCGTGAATTCTGGTCCCAAATCACTGAATTCCGCTTCGTTAACAATGTTTTGAGCGCAAATTTTATGTCGCGTATATAACGGCGCACCTTGTTGCT